CACTCCCCAGAGGAACTGTCACTTTTTTTTTGCACTGATTAGCATTTCTTCCTGGATACAAACCCATGTAATTCATGTTGCCATGGGGATATGCTTTTAGGACGGAACAGGTTACAGTAAACCATTGTTGCATCAGTTTATAGGAATCGTTAAAACTCGTGGAACTGAACAGAAACATGAGTCTGTAAGACCCAGGGAGAGAGGGAATACACAAAGAGACAGATGACCAGTCTCTATTGTCCAACACAGAATGCAGCCAGACTAAATTCATAAAGATTTAAATAAGACTGTTAAATTTGTCAAAATTTGATTAGAAAGAGAAATCTACAGGTTAACCCTCACTAGGAGGGCCAGTTTGGGGATTAGAAATTATCTGGGTGGAAAAAGGAAATGGAAACAAGCCTTTAGGAGATATGAATCGATTTCAACCAGCTTCCTGAAAAATGAAGTATAACTGCAACATGGAATTTTCACACAGATGAATAGTTGCATGGGGCATGTTCAAAGAATCATAGGATCGCTACAGTGTGGGAGCTGGTCATTCAGCCCATTGAGTCCACACTGACCCTCTGAAGAGCATCCTGCCCAGACCCATCCCCTATCCTATCCCTGTAACTCTGCATTTCCCATGGCTAATCTATCGAGCCTGCGCATCTCTGGACACTATGAGCAATTTAGCATGGCCAATCCACCTAAACTGCACATTTCTCCTGTTGGAGGAAACCAGAGCACCCAGGCAAACTCCACACAGACAGTCACCCAAGGGTAGAATCGAACCTGGGTCCCTGGTGCTGTGAGGCAGCAGTGCTAACTACTGAGCTGTATAAGTTTCCGACTGTAACAGTATTTAGGAAATCTTACTTTTAGTTTGTTTTTACAGTAAAAGTCTTAAAATACTTTGATGCTTCCAGATAGTCACTGGAAATCTGGAAATCTAAAAGTTACCTGCCTCTTCAGAGATCATAACAATGAAAGTGTTAACAGAGCCAGTTCCACACTGTAGGGATCCTACGGAAGTTAACGAGATTCCAGTCAGACCAATACAATTTAAAATTGTATTTCAAATTCATTATGATAGAACTGCAAATCATATGGTTGGCCTTTAAAGGTATAAATGATGCTGACATTTTTAGAATAAATGGCAACTTAGACGTTAAGCACCAGTGAGCATACCAGCATATCAATCATGCTACTGACTAATTTTGAAAATACAATGTCAAACTCTGCCTGAAAAATAAAGTTTGTATTTAATAGATTTTTTTTCCTTGATCAAATCAATGCCTTCTGAAATGTCAAGGAGAATTGACAAGAAACTTGTGCAGAAGCCACATTTTTAATATATTATAAAGGGAGGACCAATGGCTAACAATGGTTTTCCAAGCAGCTTTCATATTTCAGTTCACATTCAGTTCCACTTCACATGACTGGGTTTATTTAAATCATAGTTAAAATGTAAGCATGATCAAAGCTTTGGTATTTGTAAATATGTAAACAAAATTACCAGTTTTATCAGGTCACATGGCAGCTGCAAAAGTGTCAGATCAATCATGCTGAATATTAATTAAATAATGTTCGACTCTTAACTCAGTGTTGTTTAATTCAAATTATCAAGTCGTTCCCACTTTCTAAACACTAAATTTGCATTTTATTATTATTTACATTGCTTAATTCAAGCATTTGACTAATTCAAATATGTTCAATGCAGGATTATTATGACCTACTCCTGGAGTAGTCTGAAACATAACTGGAGCTGCTTAAATGAGTCTTATTTCATTTACAGTCAAGCAAGGATACACGAGTCACATAAATATTTTATGCATGATCACAACCTATTAGCAGAATTACTGCTTTGTTGCACAAACAGTAGTTTACTGAACTCAGTGTCAACATGGGAATGCGCAAACTACTTCAGATTGAAAACATTATGTTGTCTTATCTTGTGGTAAGAGCTACAGAATAAGAAACAAACAGGGAGTGGACAAACTACAATTCATCTAGCAACAAAAAATACCACTTCGATCAGTCTCTGACTGTAACCATGATTGTCTTTTTCCTTGGAGATTGGAGACTGCGAATCTGTGTCATCATGCTTTCACTAGATAATCAACGGGAAGTCTTTCTCATGCTGTTAAATGAGTCAAACCCTATTACCATGGCTACCATTAGAAGTCAAATCAGCCTCTTTGCTTCAGTTATAAATTGCACCTTTCCAAGGCAATGGAAAGAAATTCCTGGATTAGCCTTAGGTGCTTTCATTTTGTCTTGAAAAGTTCAATGGCATAATACCAGCATGTCATGAAAAAAAATGTTTCTGATGAATGAAATTCATGCTCATTGCATTTATCCTAACAAGTTAGTATTTCAACAAAAAGGCAAAGAAACAACTGCCGAATGATGGAATAGACTAAGTCCAGACTTCTGAAACCACTGTTTTTACTCAGCCATCTGACCTCTCTAAAACCCTTGCTGCAGATTCTATCCTACTCCTCAGCCAGTGTCTTAGATTGTTTGCAGCCTTGACATCATATATAATTTTATATCCTGTCTGCTAAAATGACCACCACTTCTATCCTGCCACTGGTTCATCTTGTCTTTACCACATCAGTGGCTATTCTCATAGTGTTCTATCCTCTTCTCTCCAGCTCTTCAAAAACCCAATGTAGAACCAACTCATGTTTTCTGCTCTAAATCACTTAACAATTAATTTTATATCTGGTCTCTCATTCTTGATCTTCCAACAATTAGAAAGAGTTCACACCTATTTGTTCAGCCTTAAACTTTATAGTATTCAACAGGTCATATTGCCCATAATCTGCATTGAGAAAACCAGACTAATTTGGTAAAACAATTTGAAGAATGCTAACACAATGATAGTTTCCTTCAAAAATAACCTTATTCCATGTTTTGCCCTTGTTTCCTAAAACAATTTCATCATTGGTCCACAGTTGTGTCAGCAAATTTCTTCTTCAGCTTTGCCTCAGTGAATTCATTCCTCATCGTTCTAAGGTACTACTTAATCAAACTTCATTTTTGTGCTGACTTATTCTCTTTTTAATTGGACCATAAGCCTTATTATGTTGTCACTTCTACTCTCAACATACTCAACCACGTTTAACTCGACCACTTGACCTTACAAATCAGCTAAGGCTTGGTTCATTAACACACTTATCTCTAAGTCAGCAGCTTATGGGTTGTATTCCTATTGTACATTTGAGCACATATGTCTAGGCACACACAAATGCCAGTGTAATAATGAGGGAGTTCTGCATCTGCCACAGGTATCTTCTCTGAGATGAGATATTAAATAGAGGCTCCGTCTATTCAAAGAAAAGCAAGGCAATTATCCACAATAAGAAAAACAAATAAGAAACTCAGCAATTTGACTCATTTGTGATGAAATTGACTGCTACATTTACAAGTAACTGTACTGCAAGTTACTTGATTGACTACAACAACACCCTTTACTCCCAAACATTATGAAAAGCAATGTGTTAATTCCTTTTTTTTAAATTGAGAACCACTTCATCTGTGGCAACCACAGTGAGCAGAATTTTCACACTGTATTCTAGTCGGAAGATGGAAACAATTCGATAAACTCCTTTCTGCATTTATTCTCTACCTGTCCTGATAGCAGCATATATAAATCCCAAAGGATTAAATCTCTTATCTGACGACATACAAGCAAATGGAGCAAGAATTTGGTTGGGTTGGTATAATTGGAAGAAAGCTTAATAGTTCTTTTAATTTTTGCAAATGCATCAATAGTAAGATTTCTCATGCACTCCACACTCCTAATTATTCTAACATAGCCCACTCTGAGGATGAGGAAGATCTGTCTGTGCGCACTATGTTCTGCTAGTTGTAATAAAGCACAGAACTGGAGGTCTGAAACAAAAACAGAAATTGCTGGAAACAGTCGACAGGTCTGGCAGCATCTGTGGAGAGAAAGCAGAGTTAACATTTTGGGTCCAGTGATTCTAATTCTGTTTTCGTCTCCACAGATGCTGCCAGGCTTGCTGAGCTTCTCCAGTAATTTTTGTTTTGTTTCTGCAAATTGTAGTGAAAACAAAAACAAAATGCTGGTGATCACAGCAAATCAGGCAGCATCCATGGAAAGAGAGAGCAAGCTGACGTTTTGAGTTTAGATGACAAAGATGAAGCTCTGATGAAAAGTCATCTAGACTCGAAACGTTAGCTTGCTCTCTCTCCATGGGTGCTGCCTGACCTGCTTTGATCTCCAGCATTCATTGTTTTCAAAGGCAGAACAGTGTGTCTAACTGCCAGAATGGAAAGAATAGGGAGTCTGGGGTGTGGGGAGCAGATGAGAGTGTGACAAAGGATGTAACGAACAAAGCTAAAAGAAAGGGAAGCAACGGGTTCACAATTTGAGAGTGTTGAAATCAATAGTGAGCCCAGAAGGTTTTAAAGTGTCTAGTTTGAAGATGAGATGTTGCTCCTTCAGTTTTCCAGCACTTGCAGTAACTTGTTCCTACACTGTAGCTCTTCGAGTTGTGTCAAACAGCCGGCCAACGACAAATCCCGGAAAACACTGCCCAACGACTATTATCCTCGAAACCCATGATTACAAAGTTCTGAGGAAGGGTCACCGGACCCGAAACGTTAACTCTGTTTTTTTTCCTTCACAGATGCTGTCAGACCTGCTGAGCTTTTCTAGCAACTTCTGTTTTTGTTCCTGATTTACAGCATCCGCAGTTCTTTCGGTTTTTATTACAAAGTGACTGTTATCTGTCTAAATATCTATGTCTCAGTCTGAAAGGAGCCAGATAATACGACCGCTTCTCTTTAACTATTCTACCAGAAAGTACATTGATTTACTCGCACACAAACAGCTTCAATTTAAATCCGTCCCGAGCTAACGGCCGTGCAAGGACCCCTATTTCCGGGCTGTCCGGGATACTGCCTGTCAGGCCGGATCAAGAGGGGTGAGGGGTCCTGTCATTCAGTTAGCTGTCCCAGCGGGTGCCTGTGTCTGAGTGCCGGGTTGAAAGGTTGAGCGCAACCCCGTTGTCGGTCGTGAAAGTGTTAACGGTCTCCATTCTGTCCCCAGCCGCACCCCTCCTCCCCCGGCCCCATCCCTGTCCCCACCCATCCCCCTTCCCACCCCTTTTCCTCCTCTCGTTTCACCATGACCAAATGAACACTCGGGGAATGAAATTTAAATTCCGCAAAGGAGAACGAGTCCTCTGTTTCGAGCCAGACCCGACAAAGGCCAAGGTTTTATACGATGCCAAGGTAGCGGCGCCGCGGCCTTTCTATTGTCTTTGTGGGTGCAGGGGCCGCCTGCCTCCCTCCATAACCCCTATCCCCCCCACCCCCAAGATCACTGGAGGTGGGGTGAAGGAGGGGACACTGCGGGGGGAAGGATTAGGAAAGAGATCGAGGGGCGGGAGGAAAGGTGTGAAGGGATATTGGGCTGGAGATCTCCGGGTCAGGAGGTTGTGGGGGTGCGGGGGCAGAGACCTCAGGGTGAGTTGAGGACCTGAGATCTTAGGGTAGGGAATGCTGTAAGATATCAGTGTGAGTGGGAGAACTGAGATCTTCGAGTGACGGTGGAGATTGGGATGTTTTCAGACCATGTAACATGTGGGGGGGGGGGGGGGGGGGAGGCGAAGGAATTGTAGTGAAATCCCTTGGGAATTGTGAGCTCTGTCCTGGGCTGAGGAGAAACAGTTATGTGAGATAGATTGGGTAAGATTTTGGCATGGAAAGTGCTTGGATAGTTTGGGACAGGGATGAGTATACGATTGTGGTGCGACAATTCAGAGAAGTTCAGTGGATTCATTTCTGAGATGAAAGTCTTGTCTAATGAGGAGCAATTTAGGCCTATACCCACTAGAGTTTAGAAGATGAGAAGCGTTTTAATTGAAGTATATAAGATGCTAAAGGAGATTGACAAAATATATGTAGAGCCAAAGTGTCCCTTTGTGAGACATTCTAGAATGAGAGGTTGTAGTTTTTGGCTAACGGCTGGCAATTTAAAACTGATGAGGAAAACTTATTTCTGTCAAAGGGTGGATCTGTGAATTCTCTCCCCTCAGGATGCAGTGAACTCCAGGACAGTGAATAAATTTGAGTTGAGATAGACAGATTTTTAGTAGGTAATGCATTAAAGTGTGATAAGGAAGCAGGCGCAAAAGTGGAGTTGAGGCTGAGGTGGGATCAGCCGTGATCATTTTACACGATGAAGCAGGCTTGAAGGACTGAACTGCCTATTCCTGCTCTTTGTTTTTATGTTGTACGTTCTGATCCGAGCTGTGCTGTTTTTACAGTATGTGAAATGAGAGAGGTCCGGACGTGCTTTGGAATGTCTAGCTGTGATTTGCTTTCGCCTGGCTGTGCTCACCAATTCCAAAAAATAAACCTCATTGCTGCTGTCTCTGCTACTCCATCTGATGTCACAAAATGGATAACATGCTCACACACACAAATGGTCTTATAGAATTTTGGTCAGTTGTTTCCTGGGTTAGTTCTCTGTGAAATTGACAATATATTTCTGTCCCCACTGCCATCTCGAGGAGCAAAAATACGATATTGTGGGATATAAACAGCAAGTCAATGAGCCTTTGTTGAGGGAATTTGCAAGTTTGATCTGCTAGAATTTGTTGGCGTTGAGTGCTTCATGTTTTACCCCTGTATCTTTCCGCTCAGAGTTGCTGGAAGTTTGAGTTGATAACTGCACAGAAATGGATATAAGGCGGTTTTGATCACATGGAAGGTTTGAAAGAAATGGGACAGACTGAGGAGCAAGAATTCAATATTAAATCAGGAATAGAAAGAGTAAAAAAGTAAAAGTTGAACTAAGACATTGAAAAACAGGCAATATAAGACTTTTTAAAAAACAATCCCTTTGTAATCTACTGAAACAATTGACAACCTTCACTGAAGGAATGAGATTTCACACTTGTTCATATTTTAGAGAATAGTGGTCAGTTGACAGTTATGAATAATCATAATAGCAGTAGCAGGTTACCTTATGAGTTCACTTATAATGGTTAATTTCCTTGGGTAACTTAATGGAAAATTAACGTGTAAATGCACCAACATCATGTAACTCATGGGGAATTTGAGGGTTAAGATACTACTTTTGTGGAGATAACTGCAGTTCGCAATTCACAGGATATCACAGCCTTGCCAGAACTTGCGTTTTTATAATGATTTGTGCTGTTAAGCAATTATAATTGGTAAATATTTTGTGTGTGGCCCTTCCTCATGAATAGTCTTTTCAGCATTTTCTGTTTTTATTTCCAGTCCCAGCAATAGCCACTTGCCCAAATTACCTATTTTTGTGCTTTGATCTTGTTTTACTCAGCAGTACCTGGATAGTTAATTTTAATTTTAAGAATATGCTGTGATAGAAAAGCAGGTTGTGATTTTTTTTTAACATCCTCAACAGGCATTTATTTAGCTGGAGATTGGTGACAGAATAAATTTGTGATTTATTCCAACTGTTTATTAGAATCATACCAGCACTAAGATTATACTTATCAGGAAAGATTGAATCAATAACTGTAGAAAAGACAGGATATGAGAGTGTTTGATTGGATAGATGTATAAGAGAGAGTTCCAGCTTCTGACAAGACCTAAATGAAGGGCCATAAATATGAGATGGTTATTAATAAATCAGAAATACTTAAGCTTGATACCATCCAGGATGCAACACCCTGTTTTAATTGCCACCACATCCACTCCCTTCACCACTGAAGCGCAGTAGTGGCAATGTGAACCATCTACAAATACACTGCAGAAGTTCTCCAAGGCTCTTGAGGCATCACTACCAAATCAATGACGACTGCCATCTATAAGGACAAGGGCAACAACTACACAGGAGCATCAACACCTGCAAGTTCCTCTCCAACCGAGTCACCAGTCTGACTTGGAAATATATTGCCATTCCTTCAGTGTCACTGGAGCAGAATCCTGGAAGTCCTTCTTCAATGTCATTATGGGTGTCTTACACCAAACGGACTGCTGCAGTTCAAGAACACAGCTCACCACCACTTTCTTAAGGGCAGTTAGGGATTGGCAATAAATGATGGTCCAGACAATAAAGCTCCCATTCTCGAAATAACAAAAAAGTGTTGCTGCAGGAATGCGATCTAATAGCAGATAACACTGGAAAGGGTCCAGCTGCTAGTCTACTCAGGGCCAAGGACCTTGCAGATTTATCAAATACTGAATGGAGGAATTCTAACATATAAAGTCCTAACGATGAAATGTTGGTGCATTTATGCATCAATTTCCCATTATAAATATCATGACATTACTCAAGAAGCTCAAAACTCCTTGGGAAGTGTTGTTTAAGGGTGTAAATATCTCAAAGGAGTAAGTTTGCTGAGTGTCTTGACACCACACACTTTTTTTTTAAATCCATTCATGGAGTGTGAGCATTGCTGGTTGAACCAGCATTTATTACCTACCTTGAATTCTCCTTGAGAATGGGTGGTGACCTGTTCTCTAAACTGCTGCAGTCCATTTTCTGTAGGTAGAGCCACAATTACATTAGGGAGGGAGTTCCAGGATTTCGACCCAGGAACTGAAGGATATCTTTTGATGTCAGCATGGTGTACGGCCAGAGAGGAACTTGCCTGTGGTGATGTTCCCATGTATCTGCTGCCTTTGACTTTATAGATGGTAGTGGTCAAGGATTTAAAGGTGTTGTTGAAGGAGACTTGGTGAATTTCTGCAGTGCATCTTGTAGATGGTACACACTGCTGCTGTTGAGCACCTGTGATGGAGTGAGTGAATATTTCTAGATATGGTGTCCATCAAGTGGGCTGTCTTCTCCTGGATGGTGTCAAACATCTTGACTGTTGTTTGAGTTGCTTTGTGTGTCAAGAGGTAAGTTGCTTGCCGCTGGACTCCTGGTCTCTCTCCTGCTCTTGTAGCCACTGTACTTTTATGGCTCAGTTTCTGGTCATTGATAACTGCTGGGATGTTGATGGTGGGCAATTCAGTGCTGATAATGCCATTGGATGTCGAACAGTGATGGAGGGATTCTCTCTTGTTGGAGATGGCCATTGCCTGGCATTTGTGTGATGGAAATATTACTTGCCATTTGTGAGCTGCAACCTGGATATTGTCCAGGTCTTGCTCCATTTGACTATAGACTGATTATTGCTCATATCATATGTCAACTCGATAGTGAGTGAGCATTATAAGACCCTGTTACAGTAAGGGAAATTCAGAGCTTCAACCGATTTAAAATTAACTTGTAGACCCAAGAATATCACAATACCGGGATTACAACAGTTGGGGCATTACGAAGCCTAAGCAGACAATTTCTAACAAGCAAAAAGTTAGGAGATTATTGGTGCTGCAGAAAAGGTGGAAAATCCATTGTGTAAACTGCAGTAATGGTGAGAGGTTTTCACACAAACTACCGATAAGAATCACCTGGGGAAAAAGCTGTGAAAATAAGTTAATTCATTCATTAAACTTGCTTTGCGAATGGGAATCATTTACTAATGCCATGATTATTGAGATTCATCTAGAGAAGCCATGAGAAAAGGTACATTTTATTATTTGCAGAATGTGGGAATCCTCCATTTTGACTGCAGAACCTTGGGGAAACTCTGTGGTAAATAATACACAACAGTATCATTGCTATATTGCAAAAGTAAAATCTCTCATGACAAGCAAAGGAAATAAATTAGAAAGACATTGGTCAGTACTAATAATGCCAATAAGATTTAATTTCAGAGATGGGGTAAAAAGAACAGAATTGACATTCTGGAGAAAATAATTGAGATTCCGATTCACTTCCAAATTAGATACTAAATCAAAAGTCGAACACCTCTGTATACTACTTGCATTAAGTTGATGCTGCAGCTCACCAAAGAAGAAGTACTGAAAGCCATTCGCAATTTCTTGAACAAGAACATAAGTTGCTGGAAAAGCTCAGCAGGTCCGGCAGCATCTGTGAAGAAGGAAAAAAAAAATCAGAGTTGACGTTTTGGGTCTGGTGATCTTTCCTCAGAAATGTTAACCCAGACCCGAAACGTTAACTCCAATTATTTTCTTCTTCACAGATGCTTCCAGACCTGCTGAGCTTTTCCAGCAACTTATGTTCTTGTTCCTGATTTACAGCATCCGCAGTTCTTTCAGTTTTTAACAATTACTTGAACCTTGGAACAAATAGTTAACAGAACAATTCAGCATCAAGATGAATCCAGGGATAATTTCATTAAGGATCCCTAGTGTAAAAAAAGGACTAGCGATTTAATATCAGCATTCGTGAGACAGAATTGTAGGTATTGCTGATGAATCTTTGTCAGATTTATTACAGTCAACAGAAGATTCAGATCTAGAGAAAGCCATTCAAATGTTGAGCAAAGCAAAAGTTTGGAATCAACACTAGTTAATTATACAGACTTATCACAGGAGATCAGTGGAATCCATTCAATTCCGAAGGCACAAAAGCACCTAAGACACATGACAAATCAGCGCAGTGAGCAGAATAGGGTGGAAGGAGTCAAACTAGTTAAAGTCAAGAAATAGTAGGTCAAAGAACTGCCAGTCATCGAACCACAGGTTAAGAAATAGCTGGTCATGGAGCAACCTGTCAAGGGACAGCTAGTAGAAGATTTTATGGGCCTCCTTAGATTTATGGTGGAACTCAAACAAGACCATTCAGATTAGCTATGTTGTTTGTATGTTTATCTCGCTTACAGTATATAATAAATTTAGAAAACTGCAACAGTACTGGATTGGCAAAAATATTTTCACTACTGCTAACTCTGAAGAGATTTCTGTCTGCAAGGATCAGCAAGATTTGAGTGTAAATGCTAACAATCAGAGGACCAACAAGCAGTATTTCCCCACTTGAGCTCATGGATGTGTCTTTAATTGCCATAATTCAGGTTGCGACACAGCTTGATAATCAAATGGTAGTGACAAACTTAATTGAGATTGCTGAGGTGATTTGGAAGACGAAGACAAGTACAAACAGGGAGTTTCATCTCCTTATTGTCCCAGGCTGAAAGGTGACAGATATCATGCCTAGCAACAAACAAATGGTATGACTGAGAAAATGAATATGGTTGTTTCACCATTTATGCAGTTACTGAGGGCAGTCAGTGACTAATGCATCCACTCTAATCACCAAATTGAAGTAAAAGGCTTCTGTAGAGATTACTGGAAGATGGAGAGTGAAAGTCTGCTAAGAGAAATTGAAAATCTGGTTTGTATAACTCTGCAAACAACTGAGAAGGGACAACCAATGTCCAAAGTTTCAGTACGCAGTAAAGAAGAAATTGCCTGATTGAACAAGGCAGCTGTATACAAAGGATATCCAAGAGATTAAAGGACCTTCAGTTCAAAGGGACTTTGAGACCTCAGTCTGTCAGGAACAGAATCAAAGTCAACAGTTTTCAATCTAGAGATCTACCAATCTTCCAAATCTGAAGAGAATGTTTTCTGGAAGAATTGCGAAGAATTATGAATTTGTGAAGTTGTAGATCTGGTGGAAAATAGATGGGTGATTGTGGAAAGAATAATTATTAAAACTAAACTATAAATATTCTTTAACGGGGGATTAAAAAATATCTTCAGAGGTGGGATCTATCAAATTAATCCAACTTGTACATAAATGCTATCTTGCATTAACTACATCTTCCTCTTGTCAGACAATCAAGTAGATTTTCTCGACCACATGAGAAGAAGCAAACTGTGTGATCCCTACCCTGAAATAGGATGCCAGCATATCAACCTTTATGTTGAGGTATGATAGTCATACAGCATGATGAACTCAGGTACGGGTTACTCATACAAGAAGAAGTGATCCATTCCTCTGCTGCTGACCTCCATTTTGACCATCAGTGCACTACGTCAGAATTATACATACAGCTATTCATTGAGCTTCATTTTGAAGAACATATCCTTGCCCCATAAAGGACAAGAGTGGTATCACAGAAGTATTTCTCCTCATGCTCATGTCATTTCTGATTTGGACACTATGTCTCCTCGATCTGCTACGCAATCTTCAATGAACCATCACCTCTACAGAGCCAGCGAGAAATGGTCTTGCCAGTCTATATTTGAACCAAACAACATGAACAAGCTCCTTTATACTTTCTCCTTGTGTTATTCCAAACACTTTGACTTACTCAATGTTGTATCCATATATATGTAAAAGCTTTTCGTTCGGAATAGGAGCCCATTAGATTCTTGGGCATTCTGCCCACCGTGCAATAGCAGGAGTGAAAAGAGGCCATTACTTTCTTTCTATATTGTCTCGAATAGGTACTCTCTGTTACCTAATGTTGGATCAGATAGATTAGATGATGGGTCAGTTGTTTCACTGTTGTGCTGAAAAGTTAATTCTAATGTGTGTGTTAACTACCTTAACGTTTAGTTTGGATTTGGATGTCAGATTTGTTAACAGATAGCAGGGTAGAAAGGTTCAGAGAAAAAATAGTAAAGCAGATTCATTGGATTGTTTTTTCAGGACCAGCATAGGCGTGATGAGCTAGATAACTGTTCCCTTTGCTGTGAAACTTCAGTTTATTTATTCCAAGCAAAATACAGTTAGGTTTTGCTAGGAAAAGACATTTTGTCCAGGTTTTTAGTCTTGCCTTCAGTGACAATTTGCAAGGATACCAATTTAAAGGAAAAACAATATTTTTACTGTATGAGTGGACAGTGCCGATTGGTTGACAAGTAGATTGAGTGGTACAGGCATTGTCGTGGAAAATGCACCAGTTAATGATGATTGACAGTTTACTGCCAGGCTCTGATAAATTTCAAGCCAACCAGGTTGATTCTGATTGGTCAAGGCATTGCCCTGCAAAATGAACCAGTGAATGACTGTCACTTACTTTGTTGAGTTGAAACAGGTACAGTATGTGTGCATTTTCTATACGCCTGCAAAGAACAAGACCTTGTGTATTAATATACATAGCTCCAAGCGCGTGCAGACGCACCATACTGCAAGTCTGACTGACAATCTTGATGACTACATGATGTAAAGATTTGACAAAATGTCTTTGTCTTTTTTCAGCAGTCATACCAGTTCTGTACTACCATTGACTATTTGTATTTTTAAAAAAAGCTGATAATTTTGATTCCTTAGAAAATAAATTGACAGATAAGACTCTCTCTCTTTTTACCCTGCATGATTTCTAAATTTCTAATGATAAAAATGTTGTTATATTTGTAAAAAATATTGTACCGTTCATAGATGGAAATAACTGTGTGGCGTTATTTTTTGATTGCACTGTTTTAGGATGTTTAATCATCTCTTATAGATTGTTGATGTAGAAGTCAGTAGAGATGAAAAAGGCCGAAAGATCCCAGAATATCTGATTCATTTTAATGGTTGGAACAGAAGGTAAGATCATTCTTTACAACCCTTAGAAACTAATCTTCTATGTACATCTGTGGATGCTTAATTACATCTGGCAAGTTTAAATCAAATGGCTTTAGATCAAACGACAGTGAGTTTGGTAATATCAGAGAACAAAGTACTTCGACCAAGGACCTGAAAGGGGCAAATGTTCAACTGATCCAAAATCAGAAATTTGCATATTTCAGAGAAATGGCTTCTGCTGTTACTCACCAATCTTCACCAAAGTTATCGTAAGAGATTGAAAAATGTACTAACAAAAGGCTTCATGTAATTAGGATCTCAACGTTTTCAGTAAGGACTTGTTGTCTTTAATATTAAAAGAAGTTTTGAGGAGGGTCTTCAAGAACTTACAACCCCAATTAGCACTAGGGAGTTTGAAGGAAATTTGTGCGCTCAAATGTTGAGTGGAATGTGGTGAAAGAAGCATGAAATGGGTTCCATGGATAAATTAAGTTTGGAGGCAGAGTGAGGGGAGATGGGACAGGGACTAGGTAAGGACACAGCATGGAACTATGGCAGGTTTCACTTGTTGGGTAAGGGAAAAGTGATGAATAGCAAATGGCTAATCATATGGCCTCAATCTTGCTGATAAATCAATGCATGAGCTGCTCAGGTTCATGAGGTGATTTGAGCAGGTGGTTGGTAGTGAAGAAAATCAGAACTTTTGTTTTCCTAATCATTCTGAAATAATGGGACATTTTGTTAGTTGATCGAGGCCAGTTAGTCATTGAAGTAATGTAGCCAGATCTTGTAATGGCAGTCTAAACTGGTTGTGTACAAATTTGCTGATGCCCAACACAATGTATGTTCCTTGAACTGGAGATTCTGAAGCTGAGGGTATTTGAGGTCTACCGGCATTTTTGAAGGGAAAGAGTTAAGGTTTTCTTGGGAATAAAGATGTCAAAAGTAGAATAAGGGAGAGATTGACTGAAAAGTTGTAGTATTGTGGTTAATAGTTGATCAAATGCTAAGCTGTTGGAAGTTTGCGGTTGCAAGTAATTTTTATTGACTATAGGAGGAAGTGGGATAGGGAAGGGATCATAGCCAGTGGATGGAGAAAGATGCAAATTGGAGATGGTCCAGGCAGAGATTGCAACCATGGAAGCCAAGTGGTCAAGGAAAATGACAAGGTGAAGTGGTTAACAACAAATTATTGTTAAAAGAGTTTATATCTTAGAGGAGATAGGAGAGTCATAAAATTGGAGGAAAGAAGACTGACTAATAAAGATAATGGAAGTTCAACATAGGAGCTGTGGGAGAGTATCAATGAACACTTTGAAATCAAACAGCTTGGTAAACCCTGAACAAAAACGGAAGATGCTCGAAAAGTTCAGCAGATCTGGCTGCATCTGTGAAGAAAAATCAGAGTTTAACGTTTCCAGGCCACTGGAAGGGTCACCAGACCTGAAACGTTAACTCTGATTTTTCTTCACAGTTGCCAGACCGGAGCTTTTCTAGCAACTTGTGCTTTTGTTCCTGATTTACAGCATCCACAGTTCTTTTGGTTTTTATTGAGCATGGTAAACCCTATTGGATTTAAAAGTGTAATCGCATATATTTCAGCGTATTAATTGAGAGAAACAAAAATATGCAACCGGGCCAGAAAGTTCACCTGGAGAATAATTTCGAATTCGAAGGTGATTGCCCTGCTCCATTGTTTAAGTAGGTGTTATAATTTATTCTATAAGAGAATTTGTTGTTTGATGAAATAATTAGTATATGGAACAAGCAGAGAGTAGTGTTAGACTAGAAGGCTTTTAGATAAAATTTCAAATTTGACACGCAGAATTGTCTTTTTCTGTGTTATGTCATATTAAAATGTAAAAAGAGGCATAAAATGACTTCATGGGGAAAGAGAAATATAGGAAACTATATTGCAGGATTTATCACAGTAGCAACATGGAAGTTCAATACCATTTAAATTCTACTAAAACCATTGAGTCATTTTTTTTCAACAATAATTGTAATCATTACTTATAATTTGATTTCAATATCAATGTTGGAAGATGTAAAATTTCTGCTGACGAAGAGCTAGTTGATTTCTAGTCTTGTGTTTGTTTTTAAATTCCAGACACTTAAGGCAAGATTAATGCATGCACCACCATACAACTCAACCAAATCAGTTACCGTGTGTTGATTTTGATCACAATTTCACCAGTTTCTGTTTCTTTCTGGTTATGTTTGTCTGGTATTTACCAATTCCAAGATTGCTGTTTTTCTGTGCTGTGTGTGACAAGAAATTCTACATTACCTCCACTCTAATGCTGTATATAGTTATAAATTGATAAAGTTACATCATTGCACTATTTCCTTGAGCACTTCTGCAGTTATTGCCATGCACTTTACACATTGAAGGATGCAGTATCCTTTTGTGTTGGTCAAGACAGATTGTCTTTTGAAGAAAGAAGGCATCTGTATACTATGCATAAGAGGACTGGGCGAGTGAAAAGATTATTGAACTAATCTGCATCATTTGAAATTCTGTACTCTAAATTTGTACTTGACAGAGTCCTCCCTTTATGCCTTAAAGCAAGCCTCTATTCTTGCACTCCTTCACTAATGACAACTCCATTCAGCTTATTGTGTTGGACTGATTTGATAGATTCTTCATTCGGTGTATTTAACTATGTAGTCTGTAAATTCTGTCTTGTAAAGAAATGTTATCTTGATTCCCATTTAACTTCTTTTTCTATTGCATCTGGTTAATCAAAAGGGGATTATTTCTTGATTCACAATTCTTGCCTTGTCATCTTTGCTCCTGGGAATTAAAAGTTCTTTTAATTTTCTGCTCATAACTCAACAATGTGGAATTATCCTTGTCGGTTTTGCACCCTTTCAACTGTTCCCCTGTCGTTGGAATTATGTGATCTGAAATAACACAAATCTTACCACATTTCATACATCATGTACATTCTACCTATTTTACCCAAAATAAAAATGCCATGTATGTGCAGCATACAGCTATAAGTATTTTTCACTTCCCCTGTATTATCATGGGGCCTTCAGGTCAGAATTTGGAGATAACAAAACAGCCGAGAGCTATTCAAACTCTGGCAAGCCTTTACCAATGCTGTACGTAGTATAGATTTTTTTTACCTTAATTATTGAAAGGCAAATCATTGAAAGGATGCATACAGATAATTTTTGACTCTACATATGCATTCAATTACTGTTTAATGTATAGGTAATCTGAACACTATTTTCAAACTCAACTAACGAGCACTTTGAGGTACTTTTGACATCCACCAGTTGATCACCTCGCTTGAAGTTTCGAATTTTCTGATGCTGTTTAAGTCCAATGATTTTTATTTTACCCATTTCACACTTATCAACTTCTGTTTCGTTTTATGAAAAGCCTCAAAGAATCCTTGTTGAGAGGTTGAAACATTAGTTCAAACAGATGCAGAAACTGTAATTGTAATAATGATTTCTACTTTTACTGTCTGCAGTTTTGATCTCCACATTGTTTAGTATATGACCTCTTACTGAATTCTCATGCTTGTATGTCTATAGGCATGCACTGTTCTTATTATTTAACTTTATGCTGTTTTTGGTAATGCTCCTCACTTAAAAACTGATGTTTTTGTTTGAAGTACAAAGGTTTTTTGCTTTTGATGTTTGTCTAGACACAATACTGATAAATATTAGTATTCTTATGTACAACTTTGTTATGTTTCCAAATAAGGATAATTATTCCAAATAAATCTGATTTGTGTGAAGTTCTGGTTGATGTTATTTCATTATTTAACTCTGAACTGCTTTGCTTCCATGTGAGTTTTGTTCTGTAAAACAGTCTTTAATAATGCATAACACCTATATTAGAGAAAAGACATGGATTCTATGTTTGTAATGTGAGCTGCCAGATGTGATGTACAACCAGCATCATATATTTGCTTTTCAATTGCAAATTCATTCCTATTCTCAGCTTGAGGCAATTTCAGCCTTATTTTAGCGGTAAATATGAACTGTAGTGCAAAAGAATGAAATGTTGTTTTCCAGTTGGTTGAAGAATCGTTAATTTTTGAATCTATTCTTTGTATAGATTATCAGGTCCATAAATTTCTGTCTCTTCTAAATAAAGAAATGGATACTTCCAGGATTTAAGATTTTTTAACACATTAGTTATAATAACCTCCAGTTCATATTTTGTGGATAATGTTTTTCACTAACTCTGGATTGGTTAGTTTCACATTTGATATTTGAATTACGTATTGTGAATTGCTGCTGTGAGTTATAACAATGTATGATTTTGCCAGTCTTTGTCTTTGATAACACAGCAGTCATTAAAACCCTAATAGCTCTAGTTGAGTGTTTCAGTAGAAGAAAAAGGAGGATACTTCATTAAACCATGTACAATTTCAGAAAAGCAGGTTAATGCCTTAAAATAATTTTTATTGTTTTATTTATGTTATTTGGCGTTGTATGTTTTCATTGTTTCTATTAAAGTTCACTCAGTCATCTGTTTCATTGATTAGATTTCTATAATGTTCCTTCCAAGGTACATTTTGACAATTAGTGGACCTTGCATTTGGAGATGATACATTGTGGAGGTGGAGGAACACAGCAGGACAGGCAGCATCAAAGCTGACATTTCGGGTCAGGACACTCCTTCAGAAAGGGTCCTGACCCGAAACGTCAACATTCTTGCTCCTCTGATGCTGCCTGGCCTGCTGTGTTCCTCCACCTCCACACTCTGTTATCTCTGACTCCAGCATCTGCAGTTCTTAATATCTCCTTGTATTTGGAATTATTTGCATTTTGTGTCAGTAATTCAGTATAGTAGGAATGAATTGGCTGCAAACAACCGAAGTACAATTTGCAGACTTTTCTTTTAAATGGTAGCTACTTATATGGTTACTGATCATTTTTATTTTGTAATACCATTATTATGATCTTCTTTGCCTGAACATACCAAAACAGCTAAATAACTGTTACAAAAATGCTATAAAATCAATAGGACCTAGGATATTATTGCAATAGTTGCTTTGAAGTCTAATGATTACATTGCAAAACTGAAAAGTGCTAGTCCTGCACAAGTCTCTTTTTGTGAATAGCAGACTTTGAAACAAAGTCCAATATTTATTCAACTTAAATATTATTTATTGAATCATACATGCTATTTTGAATGGATCCTGTGCTGCTTTTCAAAGTAAAATGTCAAGTACCTGATTCACTTTGAACCTAATACCCGCTGTCTTTTGGATTCCATTTTCCCATGCTTAGTAAGCACACTGGTAAGTAAGCATTTTTATAATGTGTTGCAATTAGTTTCATTTCTTCAAATAAAATTGCTGTGGTGTTTTTAAAATTTTGATTTTAGCAGGTCAGACCTTTTTTCTTAAATATACTTTTAACCCTTTCACTGACAAATTAAGAGAATTTCACATTTGAAAAGTAAATTTGTGCTCTTGAATGGGTTAATGGCTTTATTTCGGTTTTGTAAGCTTCATTTTTGATTTGAGTTTTCTCTTTTTTTTTTGTTGCCTTTTATTTTTACCTGTTTTTATCCTCCTGTCTCCAGCTGGGATAGATGGGCAGCAGAAGATCATGTACTTCGTGACACAGATGAAAATCGCAGATTACAGCGTAAATTGGCCAAGAAAGCTGTGGCTCGCATGTAAGAATAATTTACGTGATGTAAGCATCATTACATACCCCAAAATATTTGCAAAATAATAACTTTGTAAAAAAACTTGGCAGCTTGGTCAGATAAATGCATAAATCTTTTATCTGAAATCTGGCAAGTAAGAAGTTCTTCAGAAGTTCAGCCTAAGGATTGATGAATTGAAGTTTGAGAAACAAATGAATTCTCATGTTTTTTTCTGAGGACAATATGCTGCTAGGCCATAGCTGTTGCATAAATGGAATGAGGTCCTAATAAGAACAGGTTTAAAAGGTGAGTAAACATGCTCTTGGCTTGAGTCAAAATCCAAAGCCACAACTGGAGTATTCCAAATATTCAGTGTGAGTTGCCTTCATGCAAAGAGTGCTGTGATTGACAATGAGCTGCCATTTGTATCCTAAGCAAGAGTAAAATTGTACAGAAATTACAGCCAGTACAATGTCGGGCAGAAACTTCAGTACATCATGTAAGCAAAGATCTATTGTTTGAAGCTGCCTCAGAGATTTCTATCTGCAGTGCTGTGAAAGGAGCACCATGGACCACTTGCAACTTACCCAGCTGAAGACCGTATCCAGCAAGAGATTTACAAATGTTCACTTCTTTTTATGTGGCTTTGTTTGTATTGGTGTCAAACTGTGCCTAGCTGGATTAAAATAGTCCTGCTGAAAATGAATAAATTGGTAAATAAATATGAATTCAAAACGGTAAATGCAGTTTGAAGGTTACAGATACTGCATCCTTTTTATGTATGCTGATATAAACTTATCACCATGCTCCTTAAACTTTTGAAGTGACTATTTTCAGTTTAATAGACATTATTTAATATTTAAAGTTGTATATTTTGTTTGTCTTTGGTAAGAATTAGAAAAGTGTTTAACTAAATTTTGTTTTTGGCAATTATTCAAATTCTTGCATCGTGAAATGAATCCATGAAGGGTTGCTAGATTTAATACTAACTTTCACATGATTAGGAAAAACAAAGGGAAAAAGAAGCGTCGTTGCCGGCTACCTGGTGTTGACTCAGTGCTAAAAAGTCTCCCTGCAGATGAAAAGGAAGAGAATGATGAAAACTGTGAGTATATTTTTTTAAGTTGTAGAATCATTATGGTAAGGAAGGAGGCATTTCATCAAATCAAATTGAAAGCCAACCTGAAGCAACACCATTCCTGTGCTGTATTCTAAGCCTGTACGTTTATTTTGTGCATGTGGCTATCCAATCTCTTTTGAAATCATTCATCATTTCTGCTTCTGCTACCCCCTTAGGCAGCAAGTTCCATTCAGTGACTGCATAAAATAAGTTCTTTTGTTATTGCTTGTATTTCTTCCCAAAAACCTTCAATCTGTGTCCCCTGGTCCCTGTATTGCCAGCGAACTGAAACAGGTCATAGAGCTGTGCAGCATGGAAATAGAGCCTTCGGTCCAACTTGTCCATGCTAACCAGATATCCTAAATTAATCTAGTCCCATTTGTCAGCATTTGGCCCATATTCCTCTAAACCCTTCCTATTCATGTACCCATTCAGATGCCTTTTAAATGTTGCAATTGTACCAGCCTTCACCACTTTGTCTGGCAGCCCATTCCATACATGTGTGAAAATGTTGCTCCTTAGGTCCCTTTTAAATCTTATCTCTCTCACCTTAAACCTGTGTCCTCTAGGCTATTCACTATATCCATGCTCCTCACTATTTTATAAACTTCCGTATGGTCACCCCTCAGCCTGTGACCCTCCAGAGAAAATACCCCTAGCCTATTCAGCCTCTCTCCATAGCTTAAACCCTGCAACCCTGGCAACATCCTTTGTAAGTCTTTTCTGAACCCTTTCAAGTTTCACAACATCTTTCCCAAAGCCGGGAGACCAGAATTGAATGCAGTATTCCAAAAGTGGCTTGACCAGTGTCCTGCACAGCTGCAGCATGACCTCCCAACTCTTCTACTCTTTGCACTGACCAATAAAGGCAAATTTGCCAAACGTCGCCTTTTCTATCCTGTCTACCTGCACCTCCACTTTCAAGGAACTATGAACCTGCACTCCAAGGTCTCTTTGTTCAGGTTTTTGTGTACTCGATCCAAACCTCTCAAAATTTTGTATGTCTGTGAAACCTCCCCTAGTCCTGACCCTAACTTCTCAAATCTAATCCTTCGTCCCTTGTACCTGTGACAAAATATTTAGATCTGCTGGGATGACCTTGTACTTCTCGGTCTTAAATTCCATTCACACTTGCCTGCCTATTGGGGAGCCTATCTATGTCCTTGTTTGAAATCATCTTCATTAGTAGTCACACGTCTAGATTTTTCCCCATTTTTCCAAGACGTGAGTAACTTATGAAAGCAAAAGGTGCTATGGTCTTGGCACTGACCCTTGGGAAACACCCTTGTCTACCACCATCCAGATGAAAAATAACCATTTGCCCCAATTCACAGTTTTGTCTTTGTGCCAATTATTTTATCCAAACTAACTCTGTTTAGTTGCATGCACCTCAGTTTGTTTACGTACCCTTTATCTGGGACTTTATCCAAGCTTTCTTAAAATCTGTAAAGACAATATCGACAGTTTCCTTTCTGTCATCAGCCTTCACTATCAGTTGGGGCAATACACTATTGGAAGAAAGTGATTGTGCTTGAGATGATGCAGAGGAAATTCACCAGGATTATGCCTGGGCTGGAGCTGCAAAGATAAACTAGATAGGCTAAGATTATTTTTCTCGCAGCAGAAAAGGCTGTCGGGTCACCTAATTGAGGTGTGAGAAGTTATATGATGCATCGATAAGGAGAAATTTCTTTCCCTTAGTGAAGGGATCACTAACCAGGAGACACAGTTTTATGGTAAAGAGCAAGAGGTTATAGATGGGAATTGAACAGATCTTTTTCACCCAGTGAGGGTGGGTGTCTGGAACTCATTCCCTAAAAGGGTGGTGGAGTTGAGAACCTTCAAGACATTTAAGAAGTACTTGAAAAAGCAAAGTCTACAGCCCACATGATGGAAAATGGCATTAGAATACATAGATGCAGCATGACCAGCATGCATGGGATAGAGCAAAGGGCCTCTTTCCATGCAGTAAAAGCTTTGGCTTCTAAGGAGATGAGCTGATTGTGCTTAACTGGCTCAAATTTCTTCAAGTACTTATGGACTTTTTTTTCCCCTGATATTATTTGTAAAACCATAACCACCACTGATGTCAAACTGATTCGGCCTGTGGTTATTAGCAAGCTCTTTACACTTTTCTTGAATAGGGATATGACATTTGTAATTCTCCAATTCTTTGACAGCGCCCCCCACCAATCCACAGCAAAGCCAGGTAAAATTAGAAGATTATGACAAATCGTTCCACTATTTCTATGCTCGTTTCCTTTAGTAATGTGGAATGGAAGCATTCGGACCAAGCAATTTATCCAGAGTAACCTCAACCAGCCTTTCACCTCACCATGTTCATCTCATCCATCACTGTTTATCACCTCTCCTCCTGTTGATACTTTCAGATTCCTCATCCACGATATACCCGAGGACAAATGACTAGAAGTATTCTATCCTTGACCTGCCCCAGGAAGCATTCATCACCTTCCTTGCCTCTAAAATACCCACCCCGCTTCCAACTACTTGCTTTTTACTTTAACCGCCATCAGTACCTGTATTCACTGTTTTTGTCAGTGATATCTCCCTTTTCACTTCCCCTCTCAATTTATCAGCTTGAATCTTCTGATATGGAGATCAGTAAATGACTCAACTTAAGTTGCTGATGCACCTCAGAAACCTGAGGAAATCATAATGTGTGCATATGTAAGATATTACATGGCAGAGTTAAACTTCCAGTTGCTGATTTAACCTGTCCTGACTGGAGGGCGAACCCTGCTGGAATTCAGGGGGAGTGCTGCAGAGCGAGAAGTGGGCTGGGCGAGCACTGCAGGATGGGCAGGGCAAGAGTTATAAAATTGATCTTGCTTATAACATCATGAATAGGGCCCAAAATATGTGCTCGCGTGTATGCTTGATGCTGAGCTAGGACATATCAAAACTGTCCTGTGTGATAAAGGAAACCCTGATCAAAGCATCACTGGTTGTATCTCGCGAAAACTTACAAAAGGACCTACGTCCATCACTTCTGGCATTCATTGTTGCCTAGGTTACTTCAGATTACCCTGGAAGGGGAAGTTATCTCAAACTATTTTAACAACAGGTTAAGCTAGGAGTTACACTGGAAGCCAATTTACAGTCATTACCCGGGCTTGCAAAATGATGTGTTTTCACATGCGGAAGGCAACACGTTTAAATATTCTGGATAATGTTTTATGTAGACAAGGGGATTTTGTACATGTATTGCATCTTTTGCAACAAAAAAAAGGATCATGAAGACAGCCAAACTCTGCTGCATCTCACGATGTCCCTGCCTGGTCTGGGAATTAAGTTGATGTTTCACTGTTCTTGTTGCATTTCCATCCCAACCAGTCAGCACCCTATTCTCATGCTGTATAAATTGGTGTCATTTTTTTTTCAAATCTATTTCTTGCCTCCCAATTCTGATGAAAAGCTTAAACTTATATCCTTTTTCCAATGATTAAGTTCTGTACTACCAAACATTTATTTTAAGCACTACTTAATTTAATCTAGCTAATTCACTTTAAAGACTGGATAGTAGAAACTTAGGTACCTAGGACAGCATAAATACTTATCCTGTCCTGCTTAACCAAAGCTCCTGTTCCACTCATGCTGGCTCAGTAAAATGATGTTTCTCTTGTGATGTTACTCCTTTTCAACTTGTTGAGACTGAAGAAGACAAAGGAAAAGAAAAAGACCAGAGGACTTTCCCATCTTACCTTAGGAACAAATGAGTAGGCCATTCAGCCCATTTATCCTGTTCCACCATTCAGTGAGATCATGGCTGTCTGTTGCCTAACTCCATATATCTGCCTTTGGTTAATATCCCTTAATATCTTTGTTAAACAAAAAATTATCAATTTCAGATTTAAGGTTAACAGCTGATGCAGCATCCAGTGCCATTTGTGGAAGAGAGCCCTAAACCTCTACCACCCTTTGTGTACGGGAGTTCTTCCAGATATCTCTCCTGAACAGTCTGGCCCTAATTCTCAGACTATTGCCCCTAGTTATAGAATCCCTAATTAGTGGAAATAGTTTATCTTTGTCTTTTCTTGTTGATATATTCAAGACTTTGATTAGATCATCCCTTAACCTCCTAAGTTTCAGAGAAAACAGGCCTAATTTGTGTAATCTCTTCTCATAACATAACCTCTGATGTCCAGGAATCATTCTTACAAACCTACATTGTACTCCCTCCAAAGCTAGCGTATCCTTCCTCAGGTGTGGTGTCAAATCTGCTCACAGTATTCCAAGTGGCGGCTAACCAGGATTTTGTACAACTTCTGCATCATTGTACTGCGGTCCTCTAGAGATAAACACCAGCATTTTCATGAGCTTTCTTGATTTATTTTCTGCACTTGTTCATGACATTTTAAAGGTGTATGGACCCGAATCCCCAAGTTTTTTGGACATTCACTGTATTTAATTTTATATCATCTAGTAAGTTTCCCTGTTGAAAAAGGATAACCACACACTTGCTTACATTGAACTCCCATTTGTCACAGATAGACCATGTGAATGGGCAATCAATATCCGGTTGTAATTTTATGCTATCATCTACATTTCTCACCCCAAACCTGAACTGATTTCACCTGCACAATGATTTCACCTGATACAGAGTGACAGTACACGTAACCTCTTTTTTTTAATGTTAATCTGATCCAGATGAATATCCTTTCTAGCAATCCTCTGTTACAACTGCTACTGAGTCTTTGGCTTGCCACTACTGATGGAGCTGCTGGTCAATCCAGTCAACAAGCAACTTTGCTTCTGAGGGCAGTTCCTCCTCCCACTGAGTTTGCAGAGAGGGGAACGAGGTACTCTGCCTTTGTTAATGCTGCCTGCAGTGCATTACTATTGTAGGGGTGTGGATGGTAAAGAGTTCACCCAACACCAACTCACCCACCTGCTCTGTAAAATGCAGCTATAGTTATGCATTATTTACCAGGAAATGGAAAGGAAAAGACTGAAAAAAATCCAGGAACATGTGTTTGTGTTCTAAGATTTGAAAAGGCTGGAATTTTTTTTGAGTATATCTAAGGCCTTTTGCTCCAGTGCCTGGGTGTATGTTTTCTCAAATAGGTATATTGTAACAAAATATAGAAAGCATTTATCTGCAAACACTATATGATGTACCTTTGTCTTAGTAAGGTGCTTATGTTCAGAAATCCATATAGTAAAAGGATCAAAAATAAATTAATATTTTTAGTTTTGTGATCTACTGCACATGGAAGAAGAATACAACGGAATAGAGCTGTTATTACATTTGAATGTTAAAGTTTCTTATTATCTCTTACAAGTTTGCAATTTATAGTGCTCTGCATGCTGAGTTTATACTTTACTATATTCCATTCAATATATTTCACTGCCAACACTTTTTTTATTTATAGCAGCTGAAGGGAATGAAAAAGATTACCATTTAACCTTCAGTTATCACAGGGCCATTATTTCAACAGAAATGGGGAATAGCATTGTAATTAAAGGCAAATGTGTATGGCCTTTGTATTTTATGTTTGAAAAGATTAGTTTGAATTGATACTGTACCTCAGCATTCAACATTCCTCAAAGCAGATTGAATGAGGGTTTATTTTTGTTTTGATGGCATTTGTTCAGTTCCTGAACAGAGCTTTTGCTCCTGATTTAAGAATCACTTCATTCTAAGTGTTTATTCCAGACAGTTCATTTTGTGCAAATTGAATTATATAGCATCAGCACGAGCAATTGCATTACTTCTATTTGATTATTTAGTAAAGCCGTAAACTTAATGGTACAAAAGGTCTGAATGAATTACAATCATTAGCTGAAAGAGTTGTGTTTTTTTTTTCAAACAATAGGTACTCCCAAGATTGAAGTTTGATACAAAACACAGGAAAATCTCATGTCCTTGACAGAGGAAAACTAGCATATTGCTTGTGTCACTAATGAAAGGAATGTTTTCCTCAAACTACTTAGTGAGGGGAAAGCTATTAAAAACATAGTTGGAAGTTCCTAATATGTTATATAGAGTTTCCTCATTAGATTTCATAATTTTAAGTTTTGTTGGTCCACCAACCCCTGCCAATGGTTGTGTTCTCTAAAACCGTCAGTAAACTAATGACATTTTCAACAGGTATATTAAAAACATTTTCCTTCCATTTTGAAGCTTTAAGTGCTACTTCTAACGATGATGTCGATGACGACGACGATGATGACAATGATATAGATGGCACAGATGACGAATCATTAGAGTGTGAAGATGACAGTGAACCAGAAGAAATAATAGAAATGGTAAATAAAACAGAAAATGCTTTAAGGCAACAGGGTAGGGAACATGTGGAGTGAGAAGTAGAGGTAACTTTTCAGGTGTATAATTTGCCATCAAAACTGGAAGTTTACAGTTGGATAAAAAAATAGAAAAGGAATAGAAATAACACATTTCTTTTACTGAAAATAAGCATCCTTTAATGGTTTTAACATTATCCTCAAACAATATTGGTGTCAATGAAATATCCTTTGTACACATGAAATATCATCCGTGACAATCCAAAATGATAAAACATTTTGTGTAAGTTTTCTTAAGTGATGCAAATTCATTCTTTAAAATGCAGTTGTAGACTTTTTAGTGTCTTTTACTTCTATATTTGTTATCAGTATAAAAGTTAAACTTTAACTGTAACTTGTTTGTGAATTGGTTTCTCTTGACTGTCCCCGGTGAACTCTGAATCACAGAAACTGATAACCCAATGAAAATTTGTAGACTTTATTTCCTTTCAAAGATTTACAATTAGGATGCCCACATACAACCATCACTGGTTTCACTTAAATAATGAGCCACTATTACCACAACAGCAATAAATTTATCATAGTAAAATGTCCCAGGGTGCTGCAGAGGCGCATGGTAAAACAAACTATGACACCGAGCCACGACAGGAGATATTGGGCTGAATTTTTGCTCTGGTGAGCTGGAGGAATTCGACATGATGAGGTTACAGTTTTGTTATACCATGAGGCATACCAGCCTTTCAATTAAGTGCTCCTGCCCCGTAATTTTGAAAGAGGCACCGAGTCCAGTAAACTGGCCACCTGCTTGAAGGTTATTGGAAATCAGTGAAAAAAATTGAGGACACCTGATGGATCAGGATCCCTGTATCAAATTGTGGTGACCTTCTAGGAGCAATAGTAGAATCATAGATTCTCTACAGTGTGGAAACAGGCCAATCGGCCCAACAAGTCCACACCACCCCTCCAAACAACATCCCACCCAGACCCAACTCCCTACCCTTTCCCTGTAACTCTGTTTCCCATGGCTCATCCACCTAATTTACACACCCCTGGACACTACAGGCAATTTAGCGTGGCCAATCCACCTACCCTGCAAATCTTTGGACTGTAGGAGGAAACTGGAGCACCCGGTGGAAACCCACACAGACACTGAGAACGTGCAAACTCCACACAGACAGTCACCCAAGGGTGGAATCGAACCTGGGTCCCTGGTGCTGTGAGGCAGCAGTGCTAACCACTGAGCCGCCCAAGAAAACTTGTGCCTGGCTGGGCGTGAACCACCAACCTTTCTGTTAACAGTTGAATGCGCTAACCGATTGCACCACTGAGACTACTGCAAGGGTACAAGTAAACAATAAGGCCAAAGACTCCAATCCATTTGGAAGACACCGCTATGAAAAATAGCCCACCACTTTTACATTTACAGTGCTGATTACTGTTTGGGGCTTCCTGCTGACACCTGAAAGCTCAAACTCTCCTGGCTGTCTTCTGTAGCTAATTTCTGGTTGGCAACTGGGCATGAAAGAGCCGTCATGCTTCCCTTCCAGTTTCAGCAAGATCTACTTTGTTGGCAGTTGCCAATCATTTAGTGCTGAGCAGCCTCCAAATGATGCTCCACGCTTGGGAGCTTGTCTGCCACCCTTAATTAGATAGAACCCCAGAAGTGACCACTTAATTGGATACCTTCCTCCAGTTTTCCTCTGGGTCATGCCACTGGCATCTGTGGGACTCAAATTTTATCTCAAAGGTAAGTTCAGAACCTAGGGACACATCCCTAGGGAACCTAGGGATATAAAAATATTATTACAAATGTAGGAAAGACAGGGCGGGTACAAATTGTAAGGATTAGTCGTAAATCCAGATTGTCAGTGATGTACACATCTGAAGAACAAATTAAAGTAGATCAGGTTATAAAATAAATAACAAAATGTAATGGCCAAAATGATGTCATTTATAGTTGGAATATCTGATGGTAACTGCTATATTAACATTCACTGGAATGCATGTGTCATCTTGTGATATTGACTCAAATTGTTTGGAAATAGTTTGATTTTTTAATTTGTTTGTGGATATAGGTGTCATTGCCTAGGCCAGTGTTTATTGTCTATTCCCAATTGCCCTTGAGAAGGTGGTGACAAGCTACTTTCTTGAAGAGCTGCAATCCTTGGATCTTAATGTCAATGCAAAGCTGATCTGAATCGTACCAAGAATCTTGAACACCGAATGCAAAGAGAAAATATACATCAAAGCATTAAAGGCTTTATAAATGAGAAATTAGCACCTACCTACCTGCTTTTTTTTTTCTTGTTTTATAGTGTATTTCTTTCATTACCTTGTAGCTTTTCCAAGAACATCAGTTTATGTTCAGCTCTCGTTTATTTGTTTCAGCGACTGTCCTTGTTCACATGCTCCACAACTTTATTGTCACATTGGCTGGAGAAATCTTTATTCTTTTAAAGTTAGCAAGGGTTTAACTTCTGTTTCCTGCCATTTATAAATTCCCTAGGCAATCTTAAGAATTTTAATTTAGATCACCTTGATATTTATTTCCTTTTTTCTAAAGAGAATGAGATTGGTCTACTTATATATTTTTTTCCTTTCACTTTAAATTCCTGATCATCAGAATTATCTCTATTCTTATCTGTATCTGCACAAGGCTAAAAATCTACTAGCTGCATTGGGCATAGTATGGTTTCATTATCACATCTTGGGACACTATTAGTGCACCAAGTGTTGGCAGATTGTTCAAACGTGGAATATTCAGTTCAACGGTTAGAGATGATTTGTTGTGGAGGGATAATTTTGACCTTGAAAGCATCAAACCTGAGTGAAATCCTTACAAGAATGCCTTGAAGTGACCTTGAAAGAATTTGACGAACTGGATGTCCAAGACCATGAATTTAACATTTTTTAAATTACTTTTTGATTGTTGTTAAGGTATCATTGTACAATCAGTTTATTCAGTAAACCGTGCCACAATAAAGTGGGTTGTCATTTTGTTTTTTGCATTTCTGGCAACCCATACTGGCAATTCGCATTTTAAACTCATTTTGCACTAAGTGACATATGGGTCAATCCATATTTTTGGAAGCTTCTCTGGTTAAAAGAAAGACCATTTTCTGAACTATATAGTACACTAAACTGCAGAAAAGATATTGCTTATTAACTCTGCCAAAAAACCCACGTCATGGATCTTGGACCTTTGTAGGAGATTCATCTCCCTCTAAGCTGTTCCATGCTTCCTTGAATTAAAGGAGATGTATGACAGTCTTACGAAGCCCAGCGAATATACTGCCATACAAAATACTATATGTTTAGCCTCATTGCTGTGCATTTGTAATTAACTTTACATTCAGTTTTCATGCCTATAATAATTTTCAAAAATGTTAAACATGTATTATTGACGTGTGTTGAAAGATCTCAGGCCCACTATGCAACCACTTCTGTCTCGCTCTCGCGCTCTCTCTCTCTCTCTCTCTCTCGTGCACTCCTCTTTCCCAGCCCATCCCCCTCCCGAAGAAAATATGAATACACATATGTACATTCATGAACAAAAGCAACCACATAATCATTAGCCATCGTAATTAAACACTTCTTACTGGTGTAGGCATATTACCATCAGGGAGATGCAACAAAACTAATTAACAGCTGGAGTTGGTATTGTGTTTTTAACTTATCCAAGATGACCAATTTTCTTCGTAATCTAGAAGGATGATCAAGAGACTTGTTCTAAAAAGGAGATGGAAGAGAAAACCATAAACATAGAAATTCCAGACATATTGAAAAAGAAACTTGAGGATGATTGCTATTACATCAACAAAAGAAAAAAGGTATATTTCCTGTTGTACAATGTACCATTTTTAAAGTTTTTTTTTCATCTTTTGCATAGATGCTAAAAATGTTTGTCGATACTGAAAGGATATGCATTTTAAGTGTAGATCTGCCATAGGCACCTTCTCTGGTTAAGCACTGAAGTTTCGGAAGTTGAGCTGAAGTGTAGTTGCAACCATTCTTTGACGAGCATCTCTCACCAGTAAAAAGCTGCTTCTTTGTGAAGACATGATGTTACTTATTCTGTTGTACAAACTATCTTCTATTTAACCGTAGCCATTAATGCCACCATTACAAGATACTGAAATCTAATTGTTGTAAGCCACCTTTGAAAGAACAATTCCATCAATGTGACAACGTTACAGTTGTAACAATAACAACCTTAACTGTGTCATAAATGGGTTATAGTGTAATGTTGGAGATAATGGCCTTCCATTATACCTCTTAATTTTCATTTTCACTAACTTCATACTGAACTGGATCCAATATTTGGATATTTTGATTGGAATATACTATTCCTGTTTAAGTCATTACTTTGATATAATTATGACACTTTCAAGTTTTAACTCTCGAATTATCTTTAATATTCATTTTCAAATGCTTATAATTTGAAAAAACAACCTGCAGATTAGTATATAGTTGTGGATGATCTATTTTTCAGTTGGTGAAGCTTCCATGTCAGACGAACATTATTAATATTTTGGAATCCTATGTGAAACATTTTGCAATCAATGCAGCCTTTTCAGCCAATGAAAGGTGTCGTCATCATCAAAGTAATTCACAGATTCCAATGAATCCTCATTACATTCCACCTGAGAAAAAGTAAGTCTACATAATGGCTTTTGAAAATGAAAAGTTATATTGGTCAGCAACAATGAAAGACTTTAGCCATTCATTTTTACACTGAATTTCTACAGGCATTTGCACTGGAACTTGAAATAATTAGAAATCCAAAACTGCAGGGGATTGGGAATCTGTCATTTCAATAAAGTAGATTGAAGAATCATTACTGAGACACACACCATCTGAACACGTATACTTATAACAATAATAAATACAATTTGTTATTTGTAAAAATTAATTTTTAGTGCCAGTAAAGTTATTTGGTAATGATTAAGCCTTAACATGCTTTAATGGACAAGTTCTGTTTTTTTACTGACCTGTTGAGTGGTTGTCTTAACATGTAAATACCCCAACTTGGCTCTTTCCATATATTTCAATGTCATGTCTTGCTTTGAGATACCTCGGAGCAAAACTTGTGGAAGAGTTTGAAGTTGTTGTCTTTATTTACTCCTGAAAAACATTAAGAGCTGATGGCTTTGCTATTATCTTTACTGCAAGTTTCTGACCAATTAAATAAACACTTTCTATTCTGCAGTGTTGAACTTTGTAAAGAAATGGTGGATGGTTTAAGAATCACATTTGACTTTACATTACCCATGATTTTGCTGTACCAGTATGAACATGCTCAGTTCAAGAAGGTCACTTCATCTAAGTTCTTTGTTCCGATTAAGGAAACATTGTCAAATGTTAGGTAAGTTCTCTTTTGCCTGAAAATATGAGATCATCAAAGCTCATGTTATTGTGGAGATGTTCTTTTCAAGGGTGTTTTAAATAAATTACCTTGGTACCTATATCAAAGTACAGAATTTATATTTGAACTAAAGTCTGTGACTTCATAAGGAAAATTGGATTTATGCATTACAGGGAAATAAAAACAGCAAGAATTATTTCAATGTCCTAAAACACACTGAAACTCACGAATTGGAGATGCAATCACTATTGTTGATTAATGCAATAGCCAGTTTGCCAGTTTATACACAGAAAGGTCCTACAAGCAGCAAATGAGGTAAAGGACCAATTAAACTGGTACAGCGATATGGTTTGAGGAATGAATTTTTTTTTCCAGAAAATATCTTTTCTGCTGTTCAAATATTGCCATGGAATCTTTCAGTCCACTTAAATTTTTTTTAAACATTTCTTACAAAAGATAGTACTTCTGCTTTTGTATTCCTTCAGTGCTTGACGATCTTGTATTACATGTTCGAATCCAGAATCATCGGATGTGGGTGAGCCAAGGTGACCCTTGTTGCAAGTACTCTTAGCACCTCATTGACAAGCAACAAGCTGTTGGTGTTTCTGTGGTCCTATGTTTTAGAATTTCACCTACTCCTACTTCACTTCAATGTTATTGTTAAATTGGAAATGGGCATACAATGGCAAAATATATATTTGCATTTGCCCTGCTCCCTAATACATGTTCACAGATCTTTACATTCTCTTAATGAGACATTTATTTTGATCCCAGTTCCAATTCTTGGCACTCGTTGCACATTGCTGATGTTATTACTATGATATTATTTTCCAAACACCATTTATTAATTTCACCAGCAATGTACGAATGGCACAGGAAAATACAGCCCTCTGCACCCTTTGTTTTGATGTACTTGTTACTTTTTTCATGAAACGTGGTGCATATTTTGTGAGCAGAAGCTGTTTATAGTCGAGGAAGATTTATTTTAAAGCTAAGGTGTGCTCACATTGTTGTTAGTTCTCTAAACAATCTTACTGCTTTTTGGTACTTGTGTCAATCAATCTACTGAAATATGTTAGTCTGATGTATACACTACACTAGGCCATAATAGTGGCTTTGACAAAGTCATTTTTAATTCAAACGTGCAGCAGTTTATTCTTTTGTAGCAGTGTACTGTCCATTGATACTCAACATATACAGCTTTCAAATAAAGATTTAATGCTTACTTGCAAACCAGTAGTACTGTCTCATGAAACAAAATCCACTTGTTTTGCAAATTTCATGTTCATTTTCAGAGTTGGGAGTTATTTTCATTTGTATTGAAGTCCTGCCTTAAAACATCTTCTAATTGCAAACTCAAAACCTAACACTATCGATATTCTCCCGTAAGTGGATAAGGGATTACTTAATAATTTTTGACAGGAATCAGTACACTGGATAAATAGAGCTGGTGATAACTGTTCTATCTAATCAACTACCATTTTGCTAGAGTAAGTAACTTTCAAAAACAATATTTAATGTATTTTATGATCTTGACAAAACAGAGGTTTCTTTCTTCAAGTACCGAAGTAGCTGCAAAAATCATATTTGGTAAAGGTCAGTTTTACATTCTTGAATTGTTAATCTTTTCAGCATTTATTTTGTCAGGAATACTTGGAATGAAAATTTTTGCAAAATGGCAATAATGGAGGCAAGATTACAGCCTTTTCATGAGAGGTTGAGAGGAGCATGGGCTGGGTAGGTGGAAGAACAGTTAAAGGACTCTAAAGTGTGCTAAAATAAGGTGTGAGGTCAGAATCCTTATGGGCAGAATTACAAATTAGAGAAGGTTATGCATTTGTTGGCATTGCTACACTGTGGAAATTGGAAGTTAGTTGATGGGGAAATCTGAAGGCAGTATAGAAAAAAAAAAATATTAAAATCACCAAGATATCAATTTGTGTGATATGAACTATCTCAAGATTGATGCAAATTATAAGGGTCAAAATAGGAAAAGCTTTTTAGACTACATATAAGACCACCTTCCAATCAGTACATTTATGGTCCAGCAAGGAAAGAAGATAGTTCTAGAAAATGAAGTGGACTAAACAACTAACGTCAGAATAATGAAACAATTGGGTAAATAGTGACCCCAATATAATTAGGTTCCGTGTAAAATGATAAAAGGCTAATGAAGTGTTTGGGATAAAGGTGTGCTGGAGCAGACAAAAACGCAATATACAGTAAGAGTCCTGGTGAAATTAAATCACCTTGCCTACAAATTAATGGACCAAGTTAGAAAATCTTAAAATATGAAAGGGAGAGAATACAATCTACATATTCCTTTATGCCAAAAAGGGGTAGTTTCAATAAAAAGTTTCAGGAATTGAGATTAAAACTATACTGACATTTACATTATAAATGAGGGGAGAGGAAGAATGATAGATTGTGATATCATGAAGTATGGAAGGTGTGAAGAGGCTGATAGTGAAAAATAAACAAAAAGATATAAAATATGTTAAAGGAGATAACAAAGGCTTTGATAAATACAAAAAGCAAGAGTTGTTAACAGAATATAGTCCACTGTATACATTATTTTGGTTTTCCCAAGAAGGATCATTGTTCGCTTTGGCATTTTAATCATGCGCTTATGTGTGTCAGTTCTCAATATGTCTAATGGGGTGCTATTTTATCTATTGTTTTACGATTTTCTGAAAAATTGCATCTAATTGAGTGCTTATTCTGCTTATTAAACTAATAGACCTCAAAAGGAACATTCACCAAGTCCTCCTCCTCTTCTGAACCCGTCAACACCCCAATCCACAGATAGTCAGCCGTTGTCGGGAGACCCTGCAACCCCAAAACGACGAAAAATTGATCCTGAATCTGTACAGTCATTGAGGCGATCAGCACGCCATGCATCAGGGTGTGACAGGCTGTCTGAAAGCAGTGCTTCCCCTCAGTCAAAGCGCCGGTTTTATGAATCTGCCCAAATGCCCAGACTGCTTTTACACTTGGAGAAAAGTAGGTATTTAACATTTTAACTGTGAGTTTGTGATGATCTTAATTGAAAAGAAGTCCTTTTCCAGGTTGCACCTGTGAATATTCTTGCTGTGGTGATCATGGGCCACCTTTTTTATTCACGTTAATTGGTGAAGTAGCCATGGTCAGTTATGGGATATTACAATTTAAATGACTGGTTTTGAAGCGTATCATCGTGGTAAACTAACATTTTAAATTTGGCTGAGTATACGAGATTGGGCACGCTTACAAGCAGTTCCCAGTTGCAAAGAGCTTCCATCCTTGAGTCTGTTCGCAAGTCAATTTATATGCAAGTCAGAACGTGGTGCAGAACAGTATACAAAGTGGCCATTATAAGTACAGAAAATATTTGTATGTTGGACCCTTAAAATTACACCATGTATCGGACCATGTTTGGAAGTCAGATATTCGTAATCTATTTTTCCACCTCCCAGATCTGGCTTCCATTCAGTTCAGTCTGATAGGATGGATGTCTTCCTTGTCTGCCTGTATGTGATCCTATAAGTGTGAGTTGCCTGTATATTTCCGACTGGTCAAAATCCCAAAGCACTAACTTGTCAATTTCATTCAAAGATGCCTCATGTAAAGAAGAGCATGTGTAACTTTACCATGATGTCTTCAGGCTAGTAGTGGAATTAACATTTTGATTGCTTGCTTATTGCTGTTTCATTTGACCCTCAGATCCTTTCTTAGTTCCTGATTAGTTATTCCCACACCGTCAATGATATGCTCGTGAGTCCATTTCTCCAACATCGTGTAACACTTTCAACTTAACTGTATTGAATTTCACCTGCAACTTAATTGGCCAATTGCAACCTTTCTCTGACTCCTTTTGCAGGTTGCTGATTTGTTTTGTACTGTCAAACATTTTCCTCTGTGAACTTGGCCATATTGAAATGGGTTCCTGTACGTTGACCATTAGTACAGATCAGGCACAGGAGGATCTCAGCCAGGACCCTGGGAAATTTCGCTTGCAGGAAATAACCGATATCTCTCTTTTCTGGTGGTCACATATATCAAACTCTGTTTTCATTATATGTGAATATTATGATTTTCTTCAATTTCAAATTTGATTCTACCAGTTTTCCTTGTAAGAACACTAAAAATAGATCGCTCATTTAGGCTGTTTTTAAGGTGTTATTGTGCTGGAGAATTCTGCTTGGAAGTAACATCTCGTGCCCTCTCCTTTTTCACTTTTCTAACTTTATAAAATGAATGTTAATTTTTGTTTCATTCAAATTTATTTTAAAGAAACACCAGTCCACAGTGGCTCTTCCTCTCCTGTCACCCTCACACCTAGTAAAGAAGGGGTTGCAGTGTTTGACCGCAGAAGGAGTAATGAACTGAATGAGGTGAGAGTTCCTAACCTCTTTTTTTTTTTTTTTTCTTTCTTTTTTTTTTTCTCTTGGCTGTACATGTGTGTATGTTATTTAAAAAGACATTTGTTGTACTTTTTTTTTCTTTATGTTCTTATTGTGAACCATGCTTTTCTTTTACGCTTCCAGAAAAGCAATCCGTGCTTTAATAATTGCTTTGTTACAAGTCAACGCTTTTGTGCATTTATACCAGACGTTTAGCCTATGAGAAGCATTTCAGTTTTGGTGCTTTATATTCCGTCTGAACTGATTTTGGAGTGCATAACCAGTTAATAATGACAACTACTTGACATGCACACTTATCCAGAGAGGACGAAGGTTCCTCCTCTTTGGACTACAGCTCAGCCTTCAACACGATTATCCCCTCAGACTGATTTCAAAACTGCGTGACCTTAGTCTCGGCTCTGCCCTCTGCAGTTGGATCCTCAGCTTTCTGATGCACAGGCTGCAATAAGTGTGAGGATAGGTAACTGCACCTCCTTCACAATAACATTCAACACTGGTGCCCTCAGCCCCCTACTGTACTCACTACACCTACAACAGTGTTGCCAAATTCTGCCCTCTATAAGTTCGCTGACGACACCACTGTAATGAGACGGATATCTAACAACGACGAGTCAAAATAAAGAAGGGAAATCGAGGGCTTGGTGATGTCGTGCAATGAAAACAATCTGTCTCTCAACGTTGGCAAAACTAAAGAACTGATCATCGAATTCAGAAGAAAGAGAGGAGAACACACCGCCATCTACATCAACGGAACTGAGGGTGAGAGGGTGAAGAGCATCAAGTTCCGCGGAGTGATGATAACCGTCGACGTCCGTCCTGGACTTCCACGTAAATGCGATAGTCAAGAAGGTGTAACTCCTCTTCTTCCTCAGGCGGCTCAGGAAATTTGTTATGTCCATAAGGTCCCTCACCAGCTTCTACAGAAGCACCATTGAAAGCATACTGTCCGAGTGCATAACAGCCTGGTATTGCAACTGCTCTTCTCAGGACCGTAAGAAACAAAGAAGGTTATGTGCACAGCCCAGACCGTCACGGAAGCCAACCTTCCATCCGTGGACTCTATTTACATGGCTCGCTGCCACGGAAAGGCGGCCAATGTCATCAAAGGCCATCGCACCCCGATAATGACCTCCTACAACCTCTTCCATCAGGCAGAAGATACAGAAGCCTGAACACGCACAAGCAGGTTCAGGAACAGCTTCTTTCTGGCCGTTATCAGACTGTTGAATGGACTCTAGCCTCAAATAATGTAACCTGCAATGTAACCTGTATGCTTCTTAAGTCTTTTTGAACTGTACATCCTTTGCATGCTGTAATCTGCCTGTACCACTCATAAACAAAACTTTTCACTGTATTTCAGTACACGTGACAATCAATCAATCAATCTTGGAAGTGCAACTGATAGTGCAGCCTACTGATACAAATTGCAATCACTTCCTGAGAGGGTAGGGTGTTTGGAAAAGTGAAGGGGTTCAGCCAGAACATTCCAGAGTATGGGCTGAAATGATCTGTAGTTTTGCAGATAATAATGATACTAATGTGGCATCTGAAAGAGGGCAGAATCAAAGGATGCATTGAGGAATAAAGAGCTGAATGAGATTGTGGAGACAAGGATGGGGCAAGGACATACTGATTTATATACGGACAAAAGATTTGTAAAATTAGTTCTTAGATACTTCACCTCTGAGATTGGCAGGCATTGCAGTAAATAATGAAATGGGACTAAGTATGCAATAATGTGTGTTTCTGTAGATAGATGCGATAAGTATGACAGCTGGTACGACTGTAATTGTATTGCAACAAATTGCTGTTATGTTTTTAACTATTTCCGTGCAGTTTTAGGATGAGATTATTTGATGGATCATTGGCATAATTTTTAGGATGACAGTTTTGATTTACATTTTGTATTGGAGTTGTTACGTTAACTTTGAGTCAAATTACCGTTTCCAGATTTGACTTTATCAAAATTCTATAGAATAAATATCATGTAACAAAATGAATGGTAGTTTGAAAAACTGCAGTCATGGTTCACTTGTTTAATCAAGGAGACAAAACTTGGACAAAAGTGGTCATTTTCCGGAAATAGTCAATATCAGGGGCGGCACAGTGGCTCAGTAGTTAGCATGGCTGCGTCACAGCACCAGGGACCCGAGTTCGATTCCATCCTTTGGTGACTGTCTGTGTGGAGTTTGGACATTCTCCTTGTGTCTGCATAGGTTTCCTCTGGGTGCTCCAGTTTCCTCCCACAGTCCAAAGATGTACAGGTTAGGTGGATTGCCGTGTTAAATTGCCCATAGTGTCCAGGGATGTGTAGGCTAGGTGGATTAGCCATGGGAAATGCAAGGTTACAGGGATAGGGTAATGGGGTTGTATGGTCTGGTTGAGATGCACTTCAAAGGGACAGTGTGGACTTAGTAGGCGAATGGCCTGATTCCACACTGTGGAGATTGTATGATTCTAAGAAACTCAAGGAATTTTATTGCCAAGCTCTGTTCAAAGTGGACAGGAGATTGATGTAGAGCCATAGAAGGAATAGGCCACAAGGCCCTTTGAGCCTAATAGTCCACCATTCAATAGGATTGTGGCTGACCCTCTGTCGCAAAGCCGTAAGCAGAATCAGAGAATGCGTTGAGGAACAGAGAACTGCTTTCTCCACAATGTAATCATCATACTCAAAAAGAAACAAAGTAAACCTAAGTATTCATATTATGTTATTTTTAATAAATTTTAAGAGGAAAATATTGACATGTTTGGTTAGAAGTTGGTTGAAAGCCAATTTGTCCATTTGAAGTCCTTCCACAATCCTGGCACTGTTTGGCTAAATTATATAAATGCAAGACTTCCATCCCTTAGGAAGAAGTCCTATCCTGAGAAGCTGGGGCAAATCTGATTGACTGGCAGCGTCTTCACTCATGGTAGCTGCAGAGCTCAATAATGGGTGCTACCAGGATTGGAGTAGTAAGTACAAAGAATATCCTAGCTGCCACAGAAAGGCAAATCTGAGGCATTTTTACAGTGAAGATGAATCCTAGAGCCTGGGTGGATGGGGCAATTTTGTTGGAAAGAAATTTGGTGGAGGCATGTAATATTCAATGCTAATATTCAGCAGCGATATCTTTTAATTAAAGTGAGGGAAAATTATGAACAATACTCAACTGGATCACATGTGACATAACTGGAGAAGTAGCCAGTATAGTGGTAGGGTAGTGGTAGAAATGTAGTGTACTGGTAGGTTGGAGAAAGCATTCCATAATGTACTGCACAGCAGACTACTGGAGAGTGTACTATATAGCATTAAGAGTAAATTAGCAAATTAAATTAAGTACTGATAAGAAGGGAGGAAACCAAGTTGGAAAGACAATTCCACAATGCATATCAATGATTTAGAAAAAGTGGTTAATAGTGTCTTAATTTGAAGATTATACTTGAATTGGAAGCTCAGTAAATAATTCAGAGGGCTGAAGAAAGCTGCCAGGTATCCTTTTACCATTTAGAATTACATAGAAATTACAATGTAATTGTCTCCTTTTGTTTTGAACTTGAGAAATGTAGAGAATAGAGAATATTTCTTAGTAGTATTAGCCTAAGCTGTTTGTACTTGTCAAGGAAAGTAAATGTAAACCTTGCTATTTTAAACATAATATATTTCACTTCATTGCATTTGCAAAATGAAATTGGAAATGTAAAGTTGGCTAACAGGTTGAGTCTTGATGTTTAAGATTTAGCAAAATAAGTCTTGAACATGATGAAGTAGACAGGTATGAAGTCTACCAATATATGCTTCTCAAATGTTATTATGTTTAGGAATCGTGGAGTAGATTGGAACTGACTTTAATCTGTTGAAATGTTATTACCTTAGCTTTTAGTCACTGTATGTGACTGAAAACTGAGTTTTGTGTTGGTCTAACAGGTTTTATCTTGGAAAATGATGCCAGATAATTATCCACTGATTGAACAGCCTCCTGCACCTTCATATATCTATGGAGCTCACCACCTTTTGCGACTGTTTGGTAAGTCATCATGCATTCTTTTCAGTGGAAGAAACTGAAAAGGTAGAATTTTCGTAAGAGTAGGTGTCAATGTGGGCATAAAAGTGGGAGGGATTTCCACACGGGGACAATGTAAGTTTTCCGGCACGATTACATTGTTCTTGGCTTATTATATATTCATACATGGGTAACATACCAAAATTCATGGGCATTGAGGTCTGCCCCTGTTGTGATCTTCCTGGCTCTGAATCTGGATGCCATGTTAAAAGGCACCAAGACAGCACTTCACTTTCTGTAATCCAGGAGCATCACCTGAACCTCTGCTCATCACCCCCACCAACTTTTGGAAATGTCAAAGACTGGGCAAAAAGTAGGCACTATACTTTTGCGATGCCACCCTAGAAGTTCTGCTGAAGGTTGACGTAGGGGAAGGAAAGCTCTTTTCCCTTTGGATTTTATCAAGACACCATCCTGATTAAAAAACAGTCCTGACAGAGGTAACTGCAGAAGTCAATTGCTTTGGTCAGCTCAAAAGATCTTGACTTTGGTGCTGTTGGAGGTTGAATGATCTGAGTTTGAGTTGGCATTGCAATCCCATTGCAGAGGACTGTCTTACATGAGGTTAGGTGCCAGGCATCTCCCTGCCTCATGCAATCAATGTCTGTAACTTTATTGCAGCTAATGGTATAGTGCCTATGGCGTTGCATCTCTCATATCTGCCAAGGTACACACTTAAAAGCACAAAAGAAGATACAACACCCAGCAGTTTATGTACCATCATCTCACTGACCTTACAAATTTGATTCGGAGATAGTGGAAACTGCTGATGATGGAGAATCTGAGCCAACAAGGTGTAGAGCTGGATGAGCACAGCAGGTCAAGCAGCATCAGAGGAGCAGGAAAGCTGATGTTTCCGGTATGGACCCTTCTTCAGAAAATTATTCAGAAAATTTTTCTGAAGAAGGGTCCAGACCCGAAATGTCAGCTTTCCTGCTCCTCTGATGCTGCTTGGCCTGCTGTGTTCATCCAGCTCTACACCTTGTTATCTCTTATTACAAATTTGATAGTTTTTCAGGGGAAAGGACACAACCACAAAAATGAGCTTTTGAATGAAGCTCTTTTGAGTTCAGCCATGCTTGCCTGTTTTGGTCAGGTTTGCTGTTATCAGCTAATGTGGCTGCCTCAAGTGGGTAAGCTAGTTGACCTGATCAGTCTTTATTCCTAACATTGTAAGCATTTAACAGCAAAAAGCCAGGCCCCAAGTGACTCCTGGAGAGACTTCACCTGTAACACTCGGCATTGTGAATAGAAATGTTTTGAAGGACCAACTAACTGAAGAAGTTTGTATCCACTGGAGCTTGGAGAAAGAATTCTACCCTGTCAAGTAGATGCCTCATTCAGTTACGGCGGGTTTGTAAACAAGTATATTTTGCTTTTGGTAAATGAGATTGTGCCATGAACATATTTCCAGCAGACTGGGGTGTTGGTACATCTCATGACTTGCAATTGAATGCAACAACAGGGTAAGGCAACTCACATGAAAGATTCTGAGAACTTAATTGTAAAATTTTAATCTAAAATCAGGAAACTGAATTTTTACTTGCTGCCCAATTAAATTTCTCCTGACTGCCCTTCTAAAAACTTTATAACAGGCATGGAAAATTCCACCCAAGTGTGCAGTGAAAATGATCAAAATGAAATAGAAACCAGATTATTTTTGATATATGAAAAACTGTTCAAAATCTGAATATCGGATAGTATTTCAATCTTAATGTAAGAAATTTCCAAAAATGGCTGCTAAACCTCCCTGGTAAAATTTAGTTCTGCCATATTTTGCATTTTGACAGGAAGACAGCAAGGGTGTAGAATTAATTTAGCTCTTTCAAAGAGCTGGCACAGGCACAATGAGTCAGAAGCAGTTGCCTTTGCAATTTGAGTCTGTGATTTAACTGGGAAATATTTGAATTAATCTAACTGGTATTGAATTATAAGCTAGAACGTTTCTTTGGGAGTTTACCATCATTTGCTGTATCTGTCCTTAACAGAAATATGGCATGAAACTGACTGCTTTCTCGTTAGACAGAAATCCCTAAAATGTTGCAATGAGTGTACAGTTTTGAATTTGTGACAATAGATATTTCTCTGCAAGTATGTATGACCAATGTTGACAGTTCACGTATTTAATTGATAGGAAAAATAACGGATATTGAATATTTCTCCACTTTTTAGTACAGACGTTATGACTTACATTTTAAAAAAAACCTGACTTCACCTGCTATTTCTTTTATTTTTGTTGCAGTGAAGCTACCAGAGTTATTGGGAAAAATGCAAATTACTGACAGGAATTTGAAGGTCTTGGTAAAGCACCTAGAGCTATTCCTTAGGTAAGGAATTAAAATATATTAATGAAAGTTTGCATGATTAATGGTAATGATCTGCAGTAGGTTAAGAATAAGCTAAAGTTATACCTGAAGCAGAGTTCTGGATTTCATTTACAGGGCTAACAATTAAAATAAACCATACCATCTTGTCGTTATGCAAAATTTTTGTTCTGCTTCATTGAAAATGTTGTGTCTAGTTTTGGGTTTCCTCAAATGCAAATGTTAAATCCACATTTATATATCCACATACAACTCAATTAGTCAGGTAGGCTCAAGGAACTGGATTTACATGCTTTAGTAAAGCATTGATTTGAACAGTTCATTCAGTGTTTCTAAAATAATGAAGAATTTTGATTGTATTTGTGTGGAATTGTTATTTCAACAGGATAGGGTTATGTTTGTAAATGATGTTAGTGTTTGAAAGTGATGTTAGGAACCTAACATCAATTCTTCCTTTCCTTCGAAAATGTGGAACCTGTCAAACAGGTTGCAGGCTTGTGCTCTGAAGGTTGATCCCTTTCAACACAGTTGCACTTGTTGCCATTTTAGGTGGAGGTCAACTAATCCAAAAACAATTTCAAACACCTAAAGGGGCCAAAGAGTAATTTTTCCACTCAAAGCCCTGTGCTTTTCCAGTTTTTTTTTTCCCACGGACATTAGATAGCAAATGAAGAGACTCCTCATTCTAATGCATTCTGGATTACAATTAAAGGAGACAGGTTAGATGAACCATGAGTCTTTTCCTATC